CATGTCGTCCGTAGAGGCATGTCTACCGCCTGGGGTGAACCTTGCATGGACCTTACGACCCACATTACACATCACACGGCATTGTGATATCGACGATCGATGTTTATTAAATTCATTTCTCGACCGAAATTAGCGGTTGTTGACAGTTTACTAAAATTTTTTGTCATTATTTATCTATCCAGGGCTGAGAAAGAGCGCTCTCAGTACTTTAGCGAAGTCAATGACCTTCGTGCCGGACTCGACCATGTGTCCAACGAAAAGGTACAAGGATGAACAATGATTTGGCTGTTGCCATTACAGGGCTTCGCTTTGCAGCTTATTAAATGGAGATTAAAGTCAAAACACCACACATGGAAACACATAATCCATTCCATTACAATGAAACTCATTATAATACACTAATAGTATTATTACTCGATTAGGTATAGCATAAAAGCTAAAACCGGCTCAACGTGTGGACGAATTTCCTGATAATACGTTAACATTCCAAAACAAATAATAATGTGCAGCATGAAAATATAAAAAGAAGACGCATGATAAAATTGTGTAATGTTTTCCCTTTTACTAAATCAATTCATAATATTTTTTAATTTTTTATTAATTTTGTTTACTAACCTGATAAACCAACATTGTTACATACGAATAACAAACATTGAAACATTTACCTTCTATATATGTATATGCAATATAATAATTGCAAGCTTTTAATACAATACATATTATCTAGGCTGCCCAAGAGAAGATCGTCAAGCAGCTGCAGCACCAGCTCAACGAGGTCCAGGGTAAGGCTGATGAGGCCAACCGCACCCTCAACGACCTGGATGCCGCCAAGAAGAAGCTGTCCATCGAGAACTCTGACCTTCTCCGCCAGCTGGAGGAGGCCGAGTCCCAGGTGTCTCAGCTGTCCAAGATCAAGGTGTCCCTCACCACCCAACTCGAGGACACCAAGAGGCTTGCCGACGAAGAGGCTAGGGTATGTATTCGTTATATACAGAATGTATTATTTAACTCAACTCTCCTCTAAACAATTTATAACGAAATATATTTCTCCCACAGGAACGCGCCACACTTCTTGGCAAATTCCGCAACCTCGAGCACGACCTGGACAACATCCGCGAACAGGTCGAGGAGGAAGCCGAAGGCAAGGCTGATCTTCAACGCCAGCTTTCCAAGGCCAACGCCGAGGCTCAGCTCTGGCGCTCCAAGTACGAGTCCGAGGGTGTTGCCCGCTCCGAGGAACTCGAAGAGGCCAAGCGCAAGCTCCAGGCCCGCCTTGCCGAAGCCGAGGAGACCATTGAATCCCTCAACCAGAAGGTCGTTGCCCTCGAGAAGACCAAGCAGCGCCTCGCCACCGAAGTCGAGGACCTGCAGCTTGAGGTCGACCGTGCCACCGCTATTGCCAACGCTGCCGAGAAGAAACAGAAGGCCTTCGACAAGATCATCGGAGAATGGAAGCTCAAGGTCGACGACCTTGCCGCCGAGCTGGACGCCAGCCAGAAGGAGTGCCGCAACTACTCCACCGAACTGTTCCGCCTCAAGGGTGCCTACGAGGAAGGCCAGGAACAACTCGAGGCTGTCCGCCGCGAGAACAAGAACCTCGCCGACGAAGTCAAGGATCTTCTTGACCAGATCGGTGAAGGTGGCCGCAACATCCACGAGATCGAGAAGGCCAGGAAGCGCCTTGAGGCTGAGAAGGACGAGCTCCAGGCTGCCCTCGAGGAGGCTGAGGCTGCCCTTGAACAGGAAGAGAACAAGGTTCTCCGCGCTCAGCTCGAGCTGTCTCAGGTCAGACAGGAAATCGACAGACGCATCCAGGAGAAGGAAGAGGAATTCGAAAACACCCGCAAGAACCACCAGCGTGCCCTCGACTCCATGCAGGCTTCCCTCGAAGCCGAGGCTAAGGGCAAGGCTGAGGCCCTGCGCATGAAGAAGAAGCTTGAGGCTGACATCAATGAGCTCGAAATCGCTCTTGACCACGCCAACAAGGCTAATGCTGAGGCCCAGAAGAACATCAAGCGTTACCAGGCCCAGATCAAGGACCTCCAGACCGCTTTGGAAGAGGAACAGCGTGCCCGCGACGATGCTCGCGAACAGCTCGGCATCTCAGAACGTCGTGCCAACGCTCTCCAGAACGAATTGGAAGAGTCCCGTACCCTCCTGGAACAAGCCGACCGTGCCCGCCGCCAGGCCGAACAAGAACTTGGCGACGCTCACGAACAGCTTAACGAGCTGTCCGCCCAGAGCGCCTCCCTGTCCGCTGCCAAGAGGAAACTCGAGTCCGAGCTGCAGACCCTGCACTCCGACCTCGACGAGCTCCTCAACGAGGCTAAGAACTCTGAGGAGAAGGCCAAGAAGGCCATGGTTGACGCTGCCCGTCTTGCCGACGAGCTGCGCGCTGAACAAGACCACGCTCAGACCCAGGAGAAACTCCGCAAGGCCCTTGAACAACAGATCAAGGAACTGCAAGTCAGGCTGGACGAGGCTGAAGCCAACGCTCTTAAGGGAGGCAAGAAGGCTATCCAGAAACTCGAACAGAGGGTCAGGGAGCTCGAGAACGAGCTTGACGGTGAACAGAGGAGACACGCTGACGCACAGAAGAACCTGCGTAAGTCTGAGAGGCGCATCAAGGAGCTCACCTTCCAGGCCGAAGAGGACCGCAAGAACCACGAGCGCATGCAGGATCTGGTTGACAAACTGCAACAGAAGATCAAGACCTACAAGAGGCAGATCGAGGAAGCCGAAGAAATCGCCGCCCTCAACTTGGCTAAGTTCCGCAAGGCACAGCAGGAGTTGGAGGAAGCTGAAGAAAGGGCAGACCTTGCCGAGCAGGCCATCAGCAAATTCCGTGGCAAGGGACGCGCGGGTTCCGCCGCGAGAGGAGTCAGTCCGGCGGTGAGTTTCCTTCACTAAGTATTTTACGAACCGTCAACAACAATTCGAGATACTAAGCATCGTTCTCTGATTCAGGCGTCCGTTAAAGGGCGTCCCTAAATCAGCACTGGAGATTTATATGTAAGTTGGCAAGTTAATGCACGCCACCTACAGCACTCTGAACAGTGCAGCCCCCTCAGTAGATATAGACCTTGTGAAATTTGTCCCCATATGTTATTCTCTTGCATCTTTCACTCCCGGGCATGAACGAGTATCCAGATCCTGCATGACAGTTATGTAATCTGCTGACGATGACAATGATAGTAATGCTTGTGTTTCATCCACAGCCCCAGCGCTCGCGTCCCGGCCTTGCTGACGGTTTCGGCACCTTCCCACCTAGGTTCGACCTGGCGCCCGAAGATTTCTAAACGTTCCACTACAGAAAAAAACGGACTGTACAGATTTTTCGTTGAAATGTAACTAATTTTTTTTATACATAGCAGTTGAAAGTTACGAATGCGTGAAACGAAAAACTGTAAAAAAAAATTTTGTAAGCCAACAAAAAAAAATATACACTTTAGTGATCTAATCTTTTTACCAAAGGCTATTTTGTAACTTGTTGATATTTATTTATATTATTTATTACCGTGGAGTATGTATCGAGAGTGCGAGGCTCCGAGAGAAGCGCGTGAGCTGTGCGTGCGCATGATCATCCGAGACACGCCCTCCACCTCCTCACCGCTGCCTGCGCGCGCGCCTCTCTCGCTTGCCTCAATTTGACATCTAATAAAGCGATATCGTTGTCATAAAATACTACAACCTGTGTTTTCATTTATCTCTGTTTGGTAATAACCACAATAGTATCTAAATCCATACACATAAATAAAGTAATAAAATCCTATTGCAATGAAATCACTCCAAGGAAGAACATCTTAAAGAAGTAAATCCTTTAGTGCCTAAATACATTCGCATACGAGTATAAACAAACAAAACAATAAATTACCTCGATTACAAGAATATTAATAGAGCACGGGTTTGTTGCACACCCAAACTACATATCTACGAGTAGATCTCTTTACATACACTTTACGAAGTGAGGAAAACTTTTAAAGTAAATTAATTATTGTTTCTGCTGTCTGACCCCTTTAATGGAGTTACGTGATAAAGTAGTCCCACATAAAAAAACCTCCGAGCTTAAATTTCATTTCTTTAACTTCCCTGCAATCTGGGTATATAAAATATCCAGCTCTACGATTATTATTCGACTTGAACAGCTTAGTATAATTTTAGAAAAAAGTTCGATTATTTCTCTGTCTGAACAAAGCAGAAATGAGCTTCAGATAAAATGGTAGAATGACCTTTTCTTACACTGCCACTCAGTATTGGTTTTTGTCATTATCATCGCCCATTTTCACCATAAGCATCGTTGAAAAAATATTATTCATAATTCATCCTTGCACAATGCCTGCCAGATCAGCTAGTTGCGTTCTTCCATAAAAATTCATATTAATTCTGCGAAACACAAATTCTCTCATTATTTTCTTTCGGCGTTTTCAAGAAAGAAGACAGTAACACTTAAATATTTATTTCACTTTATAAATAATGTTGTAATCTTAATACAAAATCTTGTAGAATTTATTTACACAAGTCGAGGAACTGGGTTTCGTCAACATTTCTCAGAACTCAGAGCCTAACAAACAATATTTACTGATTTAAGTAGAACAAACAGATCGCTGAGATCATATTACACGTACTTTCCAACTAAATTACTATAACATTTGTTAGACTGTGATACAGAGAGAAATGATGTCTAGGTGACGAAAGTTTCTTATAAATATTTAGGTACACTAGTCTAAAACAAGAATAACAATGTGAAAAAATGTTTAGACTTACATTCACTGCAAGTTGACAATACAGTTTATTGACAAATTTTCGTTAGATGATGATAGCCTTACAATTAACAGTACAATACACAATCGTGTTTGATTTACACATATTAAACATGTGTATTCGTAAATAGGAGGTAGGTTTGTAAACAAAATATTTGATCCCTTGATGACCCCACTTTTTTAACAAAGTATTATAGTATAGAAATTCTTCACAAATTATTTTATTTACAGGAAATATCTTCTCATTATGCCATTCTTTCACAACTAAGTCTATTATGTCTAGTTCACTCAGTTACCAATAATTCCAGAATCCTTTAGTCGGCGCAGCACTGTTAGGTGATGCCTCATTCTCTTGGTCAGGTACAAAACCCATGCTACAGAAATCCAGGTTAGCTTGCGAGAAATGCTTGAACTTTTCCTGGAACTCAGCCCAGCTGCACCCACTCAGGGGACAGATTGGCGTCTCTTTCTCATTTATGAAGATTTGGACTCGGTACTCTGGGTTTATGTTAGTATTCGTGCAGCTGAAAAAAATAATATTTGTTTTAATAATTAACTTTCCAATGAAAATTTGAATTTTCATATTAAACATGAAGCTAGAACTACAACATTTGATATTGTTTGACAATCCATGAACTTATAACAATAAAGCAGTAAAAAATTATTAAGTAACATTTATAGGTACTGTAAAAGATATAAAGGAACATAAGACGGTTATAGATAAACAAATCACACGCACAATAAACAGCAAGAGTTGAATGAGTGACAGAAGCGTGGAGATTACAAAAATGTGTATAAGGAGGTGTGATAGATAACATAGTATTGGAATATGATATAATTTATTGTATCAACGATAGCGAACTGAAAGGCGTGACTACCGATAGTAAAACTGACTGTATGACTAATTACCATATGCTAATCCAGACAAATAAATACTAAAATATCTACAGCAGGTAAATTAAAATGAGCGGGTGCCTAGGTGCTAAAAATATAAACCCAGCTATCTTGTAGGTTGTTCTTGTATAGACGCTGCTCTACAAAATGTTACGCTCATATAACAAAAGCCGTAGAAAATTTGAATTAAGAGCAACCGTTGTATTGTACTACAGCGAAACTGGGCGTCCGAGTTTCTCAGAAGGAATTAACTTTATCCATGGAATCATGGAATGGGACATTATGACTGCAATTTTACGTCGCACAGTTAATCCTACTTTCAAATGCTTGACTTAAATCTAAGAATATGAACAAAAAAACTTTACTAAGAAAAGTCCTAATCTGGTATTCTTTTTTTCCTAGCAAGACTACTGAAGTGTTAATATATTTTTAACGAATACTTTTTAAAAGACTCGTTTTATAAATGCTTTGATACGGACAGCCACTAAAGACGTCCATGATCACGACACGATCAAGAAGGCGTTGTCGACGGTACTCAATGCTATGAGTGGTGACCGCGTGCGTAGGTGTGTGACAGATTAGATAAATCAATAGACAGTGACAATGGCGATTAAATGTTATGATATAACTCTTACAGGTGATAAAAAATATACCAAAAGATATTAAAATTATCACTAGCCCGTACAAGTTACCTAAGATACCCCAGGGTACTTACAAAAAGCAATTTCGTATAAATTATCATTACCTATAAGTTTTTCCTCCTACTATATTGTGGATTTTAAAGTGTTATAAAGGTATGTAGGTATAAAATAAGAGACAAACCAAACATGTAATGATAGCCAGTGGCGTAGCTATCATAGGGCCAGGTGGTGCCGTGCACCAGGGCCCTCGAGCTCAGGGGGCCCTCTAGCCTCAGCTTTGCAAAAAACGAAAAAAGTTTAAAAATCAAAAAAATGAAAAAATAAATTCAATTTTTTTTTTAATTTTAATCATGACCACCAATGATTAAACTCCTTGTTTAACATTTTCAACAGTTGTTATTTCAGTTATATGGTAGTTTGGATGGGTCCGCCCGTAGCACATTGTATCAGCTCACGTGCTTGACGGTCGTGAGATCAATTCACAAATTCCGCCCATCAACTTTTTAATGAAGTTTTCATTCGCTTTTGCCTTGCATCAGTTCTTATTTATGATATTTCCGGCGATTTTTTCAACTTTCTGAGGTCTGGGACGTACTACAGTAGTTGATGCTAGGTGTGTCACTGACTGTTACTGATGAACTTCGTAATTCCCTACTACCAGCCTTATTACATTAAGTATCACTACTAATGTTATGATTTCTATTCCGTACATCCATCCATCCGGCACCAAATTCTGGTAAAACTCATTTTCGCAAAAAAAATCCGATGACAAGATATGTACGATACAGGTTGCAGCACAACGCTAACCGTATAATGTATGATAGCTCTCAACCTGATCGGCAATAAAAAATAACCAACGTTTTCCTAAACTCAAGTCCAAATTGACAAACGAGCTACTATAGAAACGATAATATCTTCTTATGAATTAACATTGATTTTACCACATTATTACCAAACAAGCTGATTTATGATTCTTTTCTGTTGAGCTTGCTATAACCTATTATACTAAACATTAACAAGCAATATAGGAAAATCTCAGTGACTCCGGATTTCTAAAATAACGATAGTTACCAATTAAAAATTATGGAACGAAAAAAGGAACGTAGCGATGCCGCAAAGCGGAAACAACGACAAGAAAGAGAAGAAAGTAAAAAAAAATTGCCCAAGCTAGATAGCTTTTTTACGAAACCGCTTTCTGCTACAGTTCCTTCAACAGCCGAAACATCGTTCAAAAGTGCCGAAGTCATCGTTCAAAATACTACCATCAATGCCCCTGCTGAAAATGACTACCTCGACGCTTCCGTGCAACCTACGGTAGAGGAATCATCAATTTCTACATCTTCAAAAGTTCTCGAAATTTCAAATGACTTGGTAAATTACATCAACAAGAAACTGAGTGATACCAAAAAACGTCTGATTCTTGACAAGGGACCTTTGAAACCACCGTGACCTTTTCCGAAGGACCCCCACCAAGACCACAGGAGCTTTTCAGAAACGTATTACGTTTCTACGTCACAATACGGTCCAGTTGATCGTTTTTGTATCAATAAGTTCAAGCTGCGCGGAAAGAGGGGAGGAGAGCCCGATTCTCTCTCTATGCACCAGGGCCCTTGCCCCCCTAGCTACGCCACTGATGATAGCCCAGGCCGAAAAACATATCGTTCTTGTATATATTACCATGTAAATTCCCGCCCATTTGCATAATAATGCTATTATTTGATACTACAAAAAAAACAGCTGACTACCAACGAAAATATTAGATAGGTATATTTTAACTGTAAAAAGTATGAAACGTGCATAAAGTTTCTAGACACAGAAAGCAAATTGTTCATTGACCTGCTCACCTGCTATCCTAAAAATACATGTACTCGTACATGTACTTATTATTTACAATGTTTAGTTCGCATTACGCATTTCGGTAACATCAAGACTATTTATAATATTATGCTGATCTTATCTGGTCTCTCTACTTTTTAGATTTTGGCAAATGAATTTAAACTTTTTTTTGCAGTTACTCGGTCAAAGGCAGTTTACATTAATCCGAACAACAACTATGAGCCGTTAATACTTTTTTACGACTTACAATTGCAATGGGTGGAATTAAAATAAGCCTGGCAAGTTCAGGAAGTTGGACCTCTTAGTTTATTTCGGAATTTCATCTTAGAACAATCAGATAGAAAATGCCGGCTTTACCTAGTTTTTTTGTGTAAAATTACTGTTGTATGGCCTACTGGAAAAAATGAATTAACTGTTTCATTGTTTGTGTCAATTGTTCCAACTTTTTTTGCATTTCAATGTTACGTTATTTTACCTTTGTACATAACTACACAGATACGGTAGTCTCTGCCAAAAATTTCAACAACTTTAACGCCTATCTTACTGAGAAGGTCAAACTAACTAATTTTCGAGAAAATGTTATACCAAACATTTGCTTTTTTGTATTTAAAAAGCGTTTTCGTCTCTACGGACTGGTACTATCCGTGGACTCTATGGACTGGTCCGTGCCCTTATGATGTAGATAATTGCTATTTTTATGGTATAGGTCAGTAATGAGCAGACGGATGACCTAATGGTAAGCGCCGCAATACCAAAGGAGTTACGAGTGCGTTGCCGGCCTTTTAGTTATAAGGGTTTTGGGTATTTAAGGATTGGGAAGGGATGGGGGGAGGGAGGGGGGATTGGGCCTCTCTTTATCTATTTTATTTTAAATAGTCAAACACCAACAAAATATTACCTATTTAACACAGCCACCAAATTAACAGAGAAGGCACCAATGTAGCTAGTTCTCCAGGATCTGTCGGCGTCCATTAAGAGGGCCTGTAGTGGTGGGTCGTCTTTGTACAGTCCCAAGGCACAGAAAACCATCTCCATCATGGTATCGTGGGTGAAATAACCGGTGACTTTATTTCCACCCCCCTCAACATACTTGGAGAAGCTGTCGTACAGGTCTTTCAGTGGCAGACGACCTAGGTTGTCGTTGATCTTGAAAAAGAGAAAATTCTGATTAATACTTTTTTGGTTTGTCACAACCAAAGTTTCCTAATTATAGACAATAAAAACTTTTTTAGTTACAAGGGTAATTTTCTAAAGTTAAGCAACAATTTAAGTAACGACATTACAAAAGACTAATACAATATTAAAGTGTACAACGAAAGTCCAAGAAATGCAGATCATTGTAAACATAACACTGTTAGACCAGCGACAAAATCCCGTAAGAACAAATATTGACAACACGAATGTCCCGTAGGTTTCCATACCCATCTTTACTTGAAATGCGTTTAGAGCAAATATTTGTTGATAGAACAGTTATTTTGTACAGTAAGTTCAGTTCTGTCCGTTAGGAAGAGGTCTCTTAAGATTTACCCGGATTTCAGTAGGTCTGTTCAGATTCCAAAGTTGCAGAGTACAAAGTAAAGAAATTCCATTTTTAATTCGCTTTTTCTGATCACCAAATTTGGTTTGGGCATCTATTAAAACCTGGCCCTTAAATTACATAATCCAGCGCTATCCACATCAACGTCCATACTACATACTACTCACCCATGATCCATATCCGTTTCTATAATAATGCCTGACATCGTCATAGTACTCCATGATGACAAGTTCCTCATCAGTGAAGACTGAACACCAAGGAGACTTCAGAGTTGGATCCCAGGAACGGTAGAATCGGCACAGCTCGTAAATAGAAAACAGATCTGAGGAGTTAAGCTTCGAAGTCAGGCCTAGACGGTACTGGACTGCGTTTTGGATCTAAAATATGACAACGTTGAACATTATAATAATGATATATTGATTCAAGTTTTAACATTTAAAAATCCTTCTTCATGATTCAATGAATAATACAATTAAACTTACCGCAACATAATTAGGAGATGTAAAATATGAATCCAGTTGATAATTCAGAGTTGGTCCACCTTTCACTTCTTTTTGATAACGATCGCAGTTTTCGTACGGCTGCAAAATGACAAAAACAAATTGTCAAACTTTATGATTGGCACCAGGCCCAGTTCAATGCCCCGTGAAGCTAAAATTCTACACTGATTAATGTAAAAGATTATTATACTGAACAGAATGACACTTAATTTAAATATTTCGTTCCGCTTCAGCAATTGGTGATCACCTACTACCAAAAAATCGTAGTGATGATGATGATGATGAAGATAATAGCCAATATCTACGTGAACTTTAAATTAATGAGTAAAAATATGAACACTTTATTATGAACGTAGATGCTTTAAATAAAAAAGGTTCGAATATCCTGACTTACCCTAATAACATCGTCTCTCAACCTTGCAGCTTCCACGGTGACATTAAGACCGATGCCATCAGTCAGGCCATGGACGAAAGCAGAACAGCTGGTAATAGTCCTCTGCTCATTAGTAGGCCTGAAGTAGAAACGGTCAGCGGCTCCAGTCATCAGGTGAGGGTACTTCTGTCTGATCCGCTTCCCAATGTCATACAACTCTTCGTAGCCGACTCCCGTGAGGTAGGAGGTCGTTGTGTCTAGTGTGCTGTTCCATTTCCATCTTTTGAAGTCTTCGATATCCTGGAATTTAAGGGATCGATTGTTCTGTAGGTTTTAACTACATAGTTTTATCTTGTGTTTTGAATTGTTCACCTTTACTCTTTTAGGCACATATGCTGAGATTGTCTTGGAATTTAAATATATATTGCAGAATAGTTTTTCTCTAAAAATAAGTAAAGGCTACCTTATTATCTAAGTTGGAATTTAAATCTTACAGAATAGTTTTTTCACTGGTAATAATTGAAAACTATCCATTCACCTGACTGCAACTTATTTTACTTACCAAAATGTATGATAATCATTCACCAGCTTAGGATAAGACAAGAAACAAAGTTAGACTTAACTGACAGCGCAGTAATTGAGCAACCAGTTGCCCATGCTATTTAGGCAAGTTCGATTTGAAAAACTCTTTGCGTGATCCACAAATTGTTGTTTCGGGCGTGAGTGTGAAATGATATAATATAATGATAGTATATGTTAAACTATGTTTTCATTAACGAACCAGGTAAATCTAGTGTTGGACACGGTTTTATAAAAAAACTAGCTACTTCTGTGCGGTTTCACCTGCGGCTCCTGTTAGTCGTAGGTTTGCTTAGCCTATTCAGCAATATTCAAGCTATCTGTCAGTCAAAGAATTTTGTAAATTCGACCAGCGGTTAAAATTTACCTCTTTATAATATTAGTATAGATAAGTGTACCTGTGCACAGAGCTGGCTACTGCCGGCTTCATAGCTGGCGATGATATCGTCCTTGAGGGTCATGATCTCCTTCATACCGAGGGTCACACTAGTGCCAGGGTTTCTGTTGCCGTGCCGGTTCAAGGTCCATACTGACACTGCTTGGCAATCTGGAATACAAGATCAGCATAATGGTTATGCATAAAAAAATCTTTCATATGGCAATGCAATTAATTAAATATAAAATATCATCAAACATCGGCTCTAGATTCATTCAGTAAAACTTTTCCTCCATTGCCAGACGAAAAAAATAAAAATCTATTTAATCATTCTTCCCTATAAAAAAAAACGTTAAGTTAAACCACTTCATATTTCTATCTCGAAACCCCATCAATAACCAATATTGTGGTAAAACACTTCCGAGAAAATATCCATCAAAAACCACAGCTACAAGGAAGATTGTAATGGCAAAAAACATTGTATGTAAGTACTCTACATACTATGAATAAAAAAACTAATTACATCAACAAACCGCAACCGAGTCGTATATTAGAACAACAAACAAACAAATATTTTCAAATCTATCTACGCAATGAGTCAGTAGGTAACCACTGCAACATAAACAGATTATTAAGATAGGTAATCAAAATGAATTATAAAAGCATGACTCTTGACTGTTTACAAGCTATAAAATGCAATACAAAAGGGTCGGAAATGCGAGAAAAATTAATTTAAAAAGGCGACTGCTGAGCACAGGCACCGGATTTCGTGAAGCGGTTGTTGAAATTCGGTATTCTATATCCGATATCATTTTTTTTTTAATTATTAAGGGAGAAATTATCAAATGACTCTTTCCACTCTGGGTCATGGGACAGTGAGAGAGATGACAGCACGATTGGCATAGTGGCTAGGCAACTGGCTCTTGTGCAACTTGTCGCGTGTTTGATTCCCGCACGGAACAACATTTAGTGTGTGAATGTGTGTATGGCATGTGATCTACAGTTAGAACTTTAACACAAAGAACAAATATGTACTAATTTCTTATGATGTAAAGTTTCTGTGTCACCGACGAAGAAAGTTGTAGGACGACATTGAATATTTAAATAACACGACTGTTTAGGAGATAAACAATAAGCCACGCACCGTCTTCTTACTAAACACTATAATAAAGCAAGTTCCAGTTTCCAATATTTTTGGTTAGGTCTAATATTTTAAAATATTAATGGAGCTTATATCAGAGAGCCTTCAAAATTATTTAGGATATATTTAAACGTTTTCGTATCTTTAGGCCTTTAACGTAGCTAAAAATGCTTTCTTAAGTACTAAGTCTATGCGATCTTTAAGAATAGAAAGCATGTACGTATATAACAATGACAAATTTAATAAAGGATAACTTATTCCAATAATTAATTGATGCCTTATTTGCTAAGATCAGGAGGTCTCTCTTCATAGCGGTACTTCAATGCTGTGGCGATATGTAAAAAAAAAACAAGTGACTGACACCCTGAAGTAATTGGGTAATAGGTGTGGGTTCAGTTGAGTTTCAAATCAATTGAGAAAAAACAATGCAATATTTTCAATCTAGAAATGTAATAAAGGAATAAGAACACCAACGTAAAATACTGGAATAAACCAGTCATCAGTTACCAGTTCTATGCAGCTTGTAGCGGGTTTAATTCCTATGTACCATTAAACATTTAAGTGTTGGAGAGTCATGCTTCAGCAAAAATGGGAGGGAAATACGGTCTCATAGGATACCGGCATGAAATAGCGCTGTCGTAGTGTTTCCTTATGTGAATGAGGTTGTTGGAGCCTCTCCTATCCCCAATCCTCAAATCCGCAATACGGTAGTTTCCAACTAGTCAAATTCAATACTTTTAACCAAATGTCAAAAACTATACTTTTCTATTAAATTTGTAAAAAAAAGCTGAGTTATAACGTCATAGTATTTTTGCGTCAAATAGCTTACTTATTTCTTAATAATTGGCTACGAAATATCTAAAACTTAGTGTATCGATTGATCGTTGAATATAAATAAAGTACTTAAAGTTAAAAAGTTATCAAATGCAAACCTTCATTATGTTTATTCACAAGTTTTTATATGAAAAGTTTTTATTTAGATTACATAATACTGATTACCGCAATGCAAGTAGGTATAAAGTTGGAAAACCAATTCTGAAAATCGAACAGGAAAACCGCGTACTAAGCGAAGAGGTCAAATTATCCATATACAGACTTTTTTATTTACACGATAATGAAAAAAAGAATTCATGGTAACATTTAAAAAAAAAACGTATGTACAAATTGTACATGCACAGACTATATACATCGTCATGCGGTTTGTGAAATACTTAAAAAAATCCCTTAGCCACATGTGCGTCTAAGTACTGTAGGTATATACTTGAACGAAGTTTTTTGTCGCTCTGACATTTATCATCAATCATCACAATAGCTCGTCGTTTACTGACAAACTTTGAACTAAGTGTCCACGTAATTATTCTACAGTTTCCTCATCGGATTCAAAATTTTATTAATCTATTGTACCTAACATTTTTTTTAATTCTAACTTGCTCGCACGAAGCTGTGATTCTTGCAAAGAAAACGTACGCACATGAAGGAATTATCCTCTAACTAAATCATACCTTTCTTTCTTTTGGTCGGTATCGTTTGGTGAACCTGTATGTATGCATACAGCTGCATGCATGTATGTAGCTGGTACGGTGAAACGTAAGGTAAGATTAAGCTAAAACTTTATTTTCCTGTAGCGATTATTATATAGGTACTCGATTATGGATAAGCTAGAAAATGATAATAGAAATGATCAATTTCGTATTTTTTACCAATGATACCAAAACACAGTTTGAAATTGGGTCACGTTTTTCAAAATTTTCTGCTTCTTAATTTAAATAATAGTGGATTTTTCTATTTACGGAAATCCATACAAATAGAATCTACATCATCATAATATCTGGCTTAAATTACGCTATTAGGTAAAAGATACTGAAACATACAGTTATGCAGCATAAATGCACATGCATCGCAAATAAACAAAAGAATAAAAAATACTTCATTTTGAAGACAACTAAAAGTAATTAATTGGCTGCCGTGTAACGTATCGCGTTGTTCGCGTTGTTCCGGGTCTGGGTGAGCTGTGATGTGAAATTGTGTGTTTGTACGCACTCATGATATAGGAGAGAATCCTAGAGTGGGGCAACTATTAAAATAAAACTAAATTTCATCAAATATTCATCCAAATTTATGTCAAACGTAGTATAACAATTAACCTCTATTCAAAGAACAGACCAGTCCTCTGCCTATGTAGTTCTTCTATACTATAATATATTGTTACGTGCCTGACGTCACGTTCCTGACTATGCGGGCTTGGGTTACGGGATTGGATGAAATGAAACACTAATACCGGTTTTCAGACTTTCTATTGCACTTAAGTTACAGCGTCCACGGAGTTAAGTTATCGGCGTTCCTCTCCAGCAGAGTCCGGCTGACTGACACAACTTTGCCGTTCACGCTGACTTAACTCACTTAACTGACTGCACTTCACTATTTCACTGCACTTCACTATTTCACTCACTTTTCTTCTTTTTCACTTCTTCCTTTTCTTCCGAATCGCTTTAGACTTAGAACTCAACTGCCAGCGGTGAGCCGCAGTTCCGCTTATATACCCCCGGTCAGGTTCTGGAACATTCAATTTCGTTATTCTTTTTGATCGTCATGCCTCCAGAACCTTCCAATAATTTCGTTATTCATTTTTATTTATTCTCCTTCTCGCTCTTTAATTTTTCATTTCTGTTACACAAGTAATTCCAGAAAGTTCGACAAAACTTCCATCAACTAAAAAACTTCATGTTTACGGCGGGACTCGAACTCGGGGTCTCTGTGGTGTAATCCACACGCCTTACCGATTAGGCCAACTCGTGTTGACAATTCACGACGAAATTTACAATCTCTAGGCAACGTTTGACAACCATCCATTGACGTCACGATGTCAAAGAGTTTGAACCACTTTTCCGTCACAATATACACAATAATATTACAAAGAGGTAAAAATTTTAAGTTTGTAATATTATAAGTTTGTATGTTTGTATGTAGGGGGTAATCTTTGAAACCGCTGGTCGGATTTCCAAAATTCTTTCACTTATTGATAGCTACAATATTCCCGAGTGCTATAGGCTATAAAACATCACGCTACAATCAAACGGAACCGAGCAACGCGGGAGTAGCTAGTCTATAATATTTTTACAATAGAACCAATAATGTATTAGTCAGTATTATAAGAACACCTCTTTTAAAGATTCTGTTATTATCGAGGTCCTTTAAGACACTAGTGGGAAGTAATGTGCCATAGGTATTTAATCAGGGTTTTCCCTAAGCACGTGTTCTAAGAAAACCTCAATGAGCAAATAAAGATTACACTTTAAATACTCGTAATTAACCAGTAAGATATAGAGATAAAAAAAATATCAAGAATTTATAGATTTGTTTTTAATGATTAACTTTTCGTACCTAGATATTATGTTGGTAAATTAGGTAGCAAACAAAACTATTCTGACAATCGGTAACAACAATAAAAAAAGGAGAAGAGCATTGTGAAGTAGCTAATTGTAAAGTTTTTTTTTATGTTAATTGTCGGCAAACGAGCTGACGGATTACCTGATGGTAAGCAATCAGCGCCGCCCATAGACACCCGCAACAACAGAGTAGTTACGAGTGCTTTGCCGACCTTTTGGGGGTTAGGAATTTGGGAGATTTAGGGATTGGCAGTGCAAGGATTGATCCTCGGATAACCTCACACACACGGCGAAACACAACGATGTGGTTGTTTCACGCTAGTTTTCTGTGAGGCCGTGGTATCACTGCAGTCGAGCCGAACCATTTGTGCCGAAGCATGGCGCTCCCACACTTAAAATAGCTTCGAGCTAAATAGCACTTAAAGTAGCTTCATAGTGAATTATGATTGCTCAGAAAGGGTACTTGAGGAATCTTATTAAATGGGTCGGCAAACGAGCAGACGGATTACCTGATGGTAAGTAATCAACGCTGCCCATGGACACCCGTAACGGAGGAGAAACGAGTGCGTTGCCGACCTTTTAGGGATTAGGGTTTTAAAGATTTAGGGATTGGGAGGGATCGGGGGAGGGGAAGGATTGGGTCTCCGGTAACCTCACTCACACGGCGAAACACAACGCTTTGGTTGTTTCACGTCGGTATTCTGTGAGGCCGTGGTATCACTCCGGTCGAGCCGACCCATTCGTGCCGAAGCTTGGCTCTCCCACACTTAAATATGAATAGTAGGAATATGTATTTTTTTCAAATGTGGTAGAACGAGCAGACGGATTACCTGATGGTAAGCAAACGGCGCCGCCCATTGTTACTATGGATTCAAGAACTAGGGATTGCTATGATCAGTAACGTTAGAATGTGGACATGGGGGCAATATTTTCTCCACTTTCCCTCACCTGAACGTGGAACTTATAGTTTTCAGGAGTTTAACTATAAGTATAGAATAATTTCTAATGTTGATGATTACTTGTGTATAATGATGATGATGATGACTTAATAAATAGTTTTATCTCCATGCTCTATGACAAGTAGTCAAAAAAAATTGTTGGGACGACAATTACTTCGTGTGAATTTCTGTATTGTCTATTGTTGGAGTGTTTTTGTTGTTCAATAGAATAATGTTAACAAGTATTTTGTCTATAACTAATACTCTCTTAACTACTAAACGCTTATTAGTTTTTTGCCTGTGTTAATTTAGAAATGCTGGGTTAATTTAAGGTTTGGTCAAGTGTAGTTCGGCCGGTGTGATACCACGGCCCCACATAAAACCAGCGTGACCACAACTACAGTGAGGATACCGGAGACTCAATTTTTATCAATCCCTAAATCTTTGAAAGCCTCATCCCCAAATGGCCGGCAACGCACTCGTGACTCCTTTGGTGTTGCGGGTAAATATTTGCATGCGGCGTTGATTGTTTACCATCAGCTAATCCGTCTGATCGTTTGCTAACATTATAAGACCTATACAAAAATACCGCATAATTAAAAGTGTCCAGTGATGACTGACGCTGACACTGACTTCTAAACACGGAGAAGGAATGAGCAGAAATCATAGATAGCCCTTTCTCAAGACATATGTCTATATATGTATATATGATTTTGAACGTGTAGTTACAATTTACAAGTCCAGGGTTTCTCACGACTGTTTCCTTTAGGTTCTATATGTTTTCCTTTAGGCTTCTTTCTAAATACCTACTTATAACTGCCAATATGTCACATTGATACTTGCTAATTTTTTGTCATCTTAATCATTGGCTACCCCAACAAGCAGGCCTGCACCATGCACCCTTATATTTTGTCCAAATGAAATGCATCATAATAAGTGTACCTTATAGATACTTAAAAAAATCCTAAATTAAGTTATAAATAAGAAATCAGTAGTAACGAATTAATTAAATATTCATTCACTTGTAAATAAATAATATTATGTTGAGATTCATAAGTAATTAGGTACTAATTAGATTCATATATAAAAAATCAAAACAAACAACAAAAGTTCATTGCCCCAGAAATATAAAAATTAAATACTTAGATCTTTTATTTAAGTTTCTCCCATTCATACAACATTTATTTGAGTGCATTTTTTCAAACTTTGATTTATAAGTCCTGCAGACCTGGTAGGAATTAAAAATAAATATTTAAAATCTAGGACTTACTTGTCGGAGTTGCGAAGTCCCTGATATCTCCTCTGATCGTGTCATATGGGGTTTTGGATCCATACAGCTGATAAGGGCACTGGGCGTTCCAATAGCAGGCTTCCGCGTAAACAGCGGTTAGTACTAAAAGTAATAGTTTTGACATGTCGCCTGCGAGCCGACAGAGGTAGCGTCTGATTGTGTTGGGTGAAGCGCGTCAGCTTCCTATATTGTCCCCACTACGTTAGTAATACACCAGCTAAAGCCACATCCACAATAGAGCGAGGTGCAACCAATACGACTCCAACAAAACGTCGCTTTTTACCGCCAAATTCGAATTTAGAATTTGTTAAAAAAATAAGATGGCCTCTTTCATTATTTTTTTTATTTAAATTTAAGAATCGAATGAATTCGACTTTTTTCTTCTTGGGTTTGTAGCGGTGTTGACACCGATTTATTTGGCAGTTGTTGAGATGCCTCTGACTTTATTTGACCTCAATTAAACTCGTTCAGTGTAACGGATCTTGTATGCGGTTTAATTGTTGCGAACTAACACTTAGATGTTCCTCTAGGTTAATTTCTTGTGCACACGATAACATCGATACCCATTACTTGTGCGTAGACAAGTGTAATGGAGACTAATGTACGATACATGATACTAGGCCATTTGCACGGAATCATGCATGTATGAACCCAACTCTTGAAGTTAAATTAAAAGGATTGTTCGACTAGAGTGTGACGTCTATTCTACATTGAAACAAACGCTTAATAGGAATTAGCAATTTGCTCACGTAGTTACCCACTGACTATCACAAGGATCACTACTTTAATGTTCGTCGTTGAACGCGTTATCCAACGAAAGTGTGAAGCAAGCCCTATACCAGCCGTAATGATTGGATTTGATTATCAGTCGCCATCTAACACGATAATCAAATCACAATTCAGCTCCCTGATAAAGTAAGACGAAAATTTATCTCATACGAAACAAATGTGTAACTTCTTAAAATGAGTTAGAAGTCTCTTTATGACGCACCCTTAACCGAAGTGAACTAATCTTAATTTAATCTAATCAATAGCAACAATACTGACTAAATCGGCTTTATCGTATCCTGACCGCGCTGTGATGTCCACGCCTCCGTCCCATGGGATTATTGTTAGACTAGCCGTGCCCCCGACTTAGCTAACTTAATGATATATGGATGTGTTGATGTTATAATTAATAATTAGATGTTACGTTTAATACTGGATCTAACATTAAAGAAAATTGAAACGTAGGACACGGTTATTAAAAATCATAATTTGATATCAGTTAATTAACTGACGATGTTTGTAAGTGAAGTAATAAGTAGTCGAGGGCAAGACATTTTAGCTAAAAGGGTATTGGTTGAGCATTATATGTGAGACCTTAGACCTAATTTAAGGAGACGCAACGCGTTGCACGGTACGTCGTGCGGTTTGCTATACATTACTCTTAATGTTCTTATATTTATTTTTGCGCGGACTATGACACGGCCTTCTACTGCAATGTAAGACAACCCGTGTATGCTTAAACGCAGCCTTAGATTTGAGCTATGAGCAATACCGCATCTCCTTTTTAATGACAAAAATGTCGTGTCAGCGAAACATACATGAAGTATGTATGTGTGTGTATGATAATACAATGACACAATATAACAATGCCGTGACCAATAAACGTCACAACAAACATAATATTTATTTATTTAACACACCATATATTTGGATACAAAATTCTCTTCTCTGTTGTGTGTAGAAATTCAAACCCGAATATCGAGATCGCTCCTTAATCATTTCGATGCTAACGGCTAGTAAACATAAAAAAGCATGTATACGGCCGAATTGAGAACCATCCTCCTTTTTGGAAGAAGTAACTCTTCTATGGAGTTTCTTGCTCGTTCTTTTCAGCTTCACTGACGAACAGACTGACAAACGACTATTCTATTTTGACGTTTCAAAACAATTTGTTTATGGTTTTGTTGCTATATATGATTTTGACTTTATGGTTATAGCGTGAAGATATTTATCTTGATTTACAGCCAGAGAGATTCATTTCACAGAACAAATATGCAATTTTCGTGTAATTTTCGACACATTTTATGGTTACTTGTCCCTTCAAATTCATCGGGAAAATGAGTCCGTGTGAGTGAGGTTACCGGAGGCCCAATCCTTCCCCTCCCCCAATCCCTCCTCAATCCCGAAATCTCCAAATCCCTAATCCAAAAAAGGTCGGCAACAATCTCGTAACTCCTCCGTTGCGCGTGTCCATGGGCGGTGCTGATTGCTTACCATCAGATATTCCGTCGGCTCATTTGCCGACCTATTACATAAAAAAAACTGGAAAATGTTATACAAACATACAAAAATAAAAATTAAAAATTGGTATTAGAACAATGCGATATTTTTCCAAAATTTTTAATATAAGTACGATGGCAGGTTTGACGTCACTACCATTTTATGTAGGTATAGATATACAATCAATTGTAGACTAATAATAAAATCGAAGGTAAAACGTTAAAGTCCACTCACGCGAAGCTCCCCTGATCACCAAAAAATGGTTTCTAATCGTGATACTAAAAAGTCGTAAATGGATTTGAGGAATTCACTTTATGATTTTTAATAAATTATTTTAATTTGATAGTGAAAGTATTCATTGTCAGTATATACCTACTTACTAAGTTGTTTTTGCTAACGCTTATTTTGGCCAACCAAAAGCGAAAGATTCCAGAGGAAAATTGAGTAGCTTGTATCTTGACTATAATATCATAGCTCATATCTTTACACCATGCAGTTCATCATCATCATCAGCCCATAAGTGCCCACTGCTGAGCAAAGGCCTCTTCTCACACGGAGAAGGTTTGAGCATTAATCACCACGCTTGCTCAATGCGGGTTGGCGAATTCAAAATTATAATTAGAAATTATAAGTCCAGGTTTCCTCACGATGTTTACCCTCACCGTATGTCAGTGGTGTCTAAATAATCATAGAAAGTACATATAATTCGGAAATAGTCACATTAGTACTTTACCATACAGTTCATCAACTAGGTACATATAGTATAACTCAAATATTCCTTTTCTTTTTTTGTATTATCTTTGCGTTGAGTTTTTAATGCTGCAAATGTCAAGTTAGAGTTTAGAAGAAATAATAGCACAAATTATTGTAGAAATGTGCCCGGTGCATGATAATAATTTAACCTCTTTTTTCATGGGACAAATAACACAATTGGGTAGGTACCTACTTAAAATCAATAAAGGTAAATATATTATCAATTTTTAAATGAAATAAAATATAAAAAAAACTAACAATAAGTACATTTGGGTATTTGATTTAGTCAAATATGTGGAACAAGAATCCGATTTGTAAAATGTATGCGTTTCCAAACATATTATGCAATTACTTGCTAAGTACTTCTCATAGGATTAAAAGGGATGTCACAAGTTAATAAGTTTATTGACTGCCACAATGCTTGAGTGATCACAATTACTACTAAACCAACCGCTAAGCCTCAGTTCAGGATTGGGGCTTCTGGTTTTGAATTTCTATTCTAGTCTAATTTTTATTTTCCTATCGTCCAGAAGAATGGACAATTAATCATTTCATTATTCAATTATGAATTGAATTTTTAGTACAAAATACTCGTAGCTATAGAAAATCGGACTCACGCCCAAACATTGAAAATTATAGATTTTATAAAAAAAAATATTTAAAAAATTGAATTTCTGTTCTATTTTATTTTGACATTTAATATGGCCGTCAAAGAATGTATTTTGAATTTCGAACTTACCTAACCCCTTTGGAGGTGAAGGCATTATGTATCTATTTGTTTTCAAATTTAAATCGTAATTTTAATGAATTATCTTAAAAATTATTTTAAAAAACCATCTAGTCTCGCGCGGTTTCACCCTCTGCTCGGCTCCATTTAATCGTAGCGTGATGTTTTATAGCCTATAACACTCAGGAACATTCTAGCTATCTATCAGTGAAAGAAAGAATTTTGGCAATCCGACCATACATACAAACTTACAAACATTCAAATTTTACCTCTTTATAATATTAGTAGAAAAAGTGTATTGCCGTCGTTTTTTTATTTCAAGTACGAATTTGAAGCATGTCAATTAGACACGTACTTATTCTTTTCTTGCGGAATTGAATACTTTCGATGGCTCATTGATATAAAATATCGTGTATCGATTTAGTATTTTTTATTTAAATTATTGATTTAGTGAATATTTAAGTTCATTTAATTTGAGAGCTCCCACTTTTAAATTTAAATGTTTTCACAATTTAAATAGGTTTTCCTATATTTCAAAAACAAAAAAGTAACACGTGTCTAACATTTTTATTGAGTGACTAAATGCATTTTTAGCATTAATACTCTGTCACCAGCCGTATGGAATTACAAATAATAAACGTATGTCATGATGATGATATATTTTAATTAATATACAAGTTGCGTTGTAGACCAGGCGATAAAGGGTAAGCAGTTAATTACACGTGTACTTTAATACTTATGTATTTCTGTGTTACATACAGTGTTTCATTATGACATTTTTACATATGTATATAGGTATTTGTATGTAATCGTATATCAACAACAACTCCATATGTACTGACGATAGCGTGCAATATTTTATAAGCCAAACATTATTGAACTACTCTACTACATATTCAACAATATATGAGACAAGCTTTATGTTTCGCCGTGTAAGTGAGGCTATCAGATGTGCCCTCATCCCTTCCAATCCCTAAATCCACAAAAGCCTGGTAACGCATTTGCAACTCCTCTGGTATTGCGAGCCGAGCCGAGACGAGCGAGACCCTTGCTGGCCGTCCGCAGAGCCGCGCCTGGAGATTGTGTCTCGAGCCGACAAATTATCTGATGTTAATCAGTATTAATTACTACTATAAGTGCGTTGCCGGTCTCTTGTGAATTATTAGGGATTTCAGGATATGGGATTTGAGGTTTGAGGACCTCGTAGGTCTAGTTTCACACCGGTGCGGACACAATTTAAAAACAATCTTCCATTATAATGGTCATAACTGATTTACTTCGGATTTCTGTCTTCAACTTGCTTGAGCACCGTGAAAAAAGTATATGAAGCCTTTATGATCTGAAAAGAAAAATAACATTTTTGTATTTTCTTCTTTATTATCAGCCGGGATTGTGAACACAACGACAGTAGAAGGCAAAATGTGGTTTAAGTTGGTAAGAGTCTGACAATTCCACTCGCCTTATCCAGGTCAGGAGAAGTGAGTTGAATATTTTTCCCTAAAAACCGTAATTTCTCTTTATTTAAAAGGTCACTGAACTTTTAGCATTTCCCCAATTGTTTTTTGAGATATTTTTATATTTTTTTTTAATATGGTCTTTAAAATACACTATTTAATAAACAAAAAAATGCATTAAAAGAATCACTTTATTCCCCACAATATGTTAAATTCATTATGACCAGCCACTGCATCAACCGTGCAGCAAATAAAGTGCAGGGCTTTTGTATCAAACCTAAATATCAGTAACATCCTGTAGCTACATAAATGCAATAAATAATTATGATTACATACATATATAACAAAGTAGGTTAAATAACAATCAGTTTTTGGAGGTGTGATCGATAAGCGTTATTACATTCCTGATTAGCCGATTATTTTAATTTACATTTACTTAGGGCTATAAAATCATAAATAGACTTTGTATAAATATAGATAATATCAGAATATCAAGATCGTACGTATTTACGTAACTATTCGTCTGTCTTTCAAGCAGAAAGTTTGGGAGCTTCTTTTAAAGAGGTTGGAGGATATATATACATATATATGTATATACAAATGCAGTCATGATCACGATGACTGCCTTGTATATGTAAATATATTAAGTATCATGAAAGATTATTGTGTTATATGAAAATAAAACGTTGCCCTAAACCTGAATTTTCTGCTTGTGTCGTGGGTTCGTTAATAAATACAAAGTTTAAATTATACATCACACCCAGACCCAGAGCAGCAATTTGTGGATAAGCACAGGCAGGATAGGCACTAAGAGTTGTTCCGTGCGGGAATCGAACCCGCGACACGTTGCGCGGCAGCCAGTTGCCCAGCCAACGCGCCAACCGTGAAATCAAAGGTCAAAGTAATAACTTATTTATAAAACAGTAATAAACTGTTTTATAAATAAGTTATTACGTGTATTGCTTGCTTCTTGCATCTACCACTGGATGGTCCCTGGAACACCTGAAGATTGACTGGTATAGAATGCTCAATACATTATGTCTGTCCTATGTACAAAGATTTATGCATTTTTATGGGATAAGTCGGCGGAAGGCAATCGGCACCGCCAAGGACACCCGCAACACCAAAGGAGTCACGAGTGCGTTGCCGGCATTTGGGGATAAGGGTTGTGGATATCTAAGGATTGGGAAGGGATAGGAGAGTGGTAGGGATTGGGTCTCCGGTAACCACAGTCACACGGCGAAACACAATGATGTGGTTGTTTCACACTGGTTTTCTGTGAGGCCGTGGTATGACTCAGGTCGAGACGACCCATTCGTGGCGAACCACGACTCTTCCTCACTCACCCGTTCATGAAGTAAAATAAATAAATAATACTCACTGAGGTGAAGCATGAAAGAGAGAGCGTCATAAATCCGCCAGCAGTGAGTTGTACAGCGCATCGCGTGCGCAACATGACAATTAGCAGGGACCGTCGCAGGCGCAGGGAACATTTATACCACGGACACTCGTACGCAGCTCCCGCTATCTCATAACTCTGGATAAAGCAAAATATTATGTATAAAAACCTCACTAATACATACCTAAAAAAGCATTGCATAATTCTTTATCATCCATCACATTATGCAACCGACCATTTCCAAGAAAATTGATTATAATTTCAGTATATATTACTTTTGTATTACAACTTTTGTGTGATATATTAAATAATTTAATCATCTTTAATAATATCACATTTCTTTTAATCTCACCTTTACCGGTAACGGACCTCGACCTATTTTTTTAATTTCGTTTAATAATTTACTGCACATGAATTTGTATCAAAATTTATTTTTCTACTTTTCTCCAGCGAAAATAGATATGAATACTTATATATTAAATTATATTAATATATTTTACTTAATCTCACACTCATTTAAATGTAATTGTAAACATTTACATCTACTTGATTACTCGTGTTAATTACATAACAAGGTTTTAAAACTTCGAGCTTTTTTACTGCCATGGAGTATTTAATCTTTAAAATTGTTAGCGCAGTGACTGGTCAACTGACGCCTTCTTTACGCTTGAATTATTATTAATAATATAACACAGTATTACCTCCTCTGTTAGCTGGTTTCCTTGATAACAGTAGATGTATACTTGCAGCATCATGCATAGCAAGTAGGTCGCCATTGGTATACTCCGGACTCTGTTCCCGTTGTCCAATTCCTACACAAATATTATTACAATTACAATATTCCATTACTGAGTCACTTTACGTACCTACTGACAACGTACAACTGTGACATAGACTAAGGGTCTGTTACACAATAGCTGTTATGTACAAAATTAATTTAAATATAGAACTTAATTCGTATGAATTGTATGTCATATAACTTTATTTGGAACTTAAAAAGATGGTGAAACAAGCGCTAAAAAGAGTCTCCTATTAAGAGTAATAAGAGTCTTAATCTATTAGTTACAGATGTACATTATCTGTTACATTGCATTATCATAAACACTAGCTACTCTCGCGCTGTTTCACCCGCTCTATTTGATCGTTGCGACCAGCGGTTCCAAAGATTACCCCCTACATACAAAATTATAAACTTACAAATACCTCTTATTTTAGTTCTTGTTTTAGTAAATATTTATTTTATTAAATAAATATTTACTAATCTATATAGAACTAATAAATATATAAATATACTTATTACTACTATACTACTATAAATATACTAATCTATTAGTTTATATCTATTCATATATATAGATTAGTCTCGGAACAAAAGTCAAAAATCATTTATTCCAATTAGACCTTTACAGGCACTTTTGAACGTCAAACAAAATTTTGAATATATAGTGTCAGTCTGTCGGTCAGTCCTTAGTGAAGCTATTTGCTCGTTCCAAAGTGTAGATTCCGATGGAGAAGAACGAGCTAGAAACTCCATGGTTACTCTTTTTAAATCAGTTTCACATACAGATTCCTTTTACAAACAGTTGGTTCAATTATGTAACCATGAACCAAACATAGTGTCACATGAAGTCCTTAGTGTCACAAAATTATGCTGAAAATGAATTGTACTTTTACGGGTCAAATCTGCCTTTATTACACAGCATTTGTTTCTATCCCGCGGCTAAACCCGTCTAAGGTACCCTAGACGGGTTTTACACATTTAACTGAGACTGGACAGCAGAGTTGTCTAATAAGTATACATAAAAATGTCAAACTACGATTGAAAGCGTTATCTATAAAGGTTTTTTTTATATGATAATATCATCAAATAACTTTTCTCATCCAAGGTAAAGCGAGAGGAAATGTCAGACTCTAGTTTTAGTAGGTTTCCTACTCCTACCTTATCTTTTAATAAATAAAATAAAGTATTACATGACAAAATAATATTCTCCTTCTTCATACTTTTTTCAATTACACCATATATAGGTCGAAGTTAACCGGCTAGGGAACGAATTAATTTAGATATACATACGTACGTACATTACTTTACTTGTTAAAAGATAAGGCAATGAAACCTTACTTGGAATTAGACACGCATTTTTGTTATTTCATATACAAATTACTTTGTTTTATATTATTATGTAATTTAATATTTTTAATTTGTGCCCGTAACTTTGTCCGCGTAAAATATTGACATAACTTTGGTTCTTTTACTTAAACTACACGAATAGATATAATTAGACTCTGAGTTTTTTATGTACAATTGTACATGCTTCTTTAATTATTTCTTCCTTGTTAGTTTACAAGCTACTCTCGCGCGGTTTCACCCGCTGCTCGTCTTCATTTAATCGTAGCGTGATGTTTAAAGCCTATAGCACTCAGGAACATTGTAGCTATCAGCGGTTTCAAAGACTACCCCCTACATACAAACTTACAAACTTAAAAAAGTATAATTTTCAAGTTTTTAGAGAATTTATTTAAATAGTTAAAAGATCCATCATGTTTTTATGTCTATTATCTTAAGTACCGTTCAACGCTCCCTCGATCCCTCTTACCAAAGGCGGGAGGTGAGAAGTGATTTGAAGTCCTAACGTACCATGGCCAGCTGGTATGCTGTAACACAGATGATGACGGCAGACACGGTAAACTGCGCCAGGATAGGGTATGAGAAGCACTTCTGTATCAACCTGGTCGACTTCAACGCAGCCTCGTGTTTGATAACACACTGCCGCAAGCGAGATTGAACTATTTTCTCTTCGTCAGAAGTCAGTAAATCCTGTGGATTTGGAAATGAAATTCTGTCATAAGGATTTATTTTAGTTAAGTGTGTGTTGCTTTAATGTAAGTAATTTAATTTAGAATATTATTTAGCTAACCAAACTCCTGTCAAATAATTAAACAACCTTTCGGCTTTAATATTAAGAAGTTTTGAATATTTAATTTTATATTCATATAAATGTATTATTTTTATACGGTACATAGGAATAATATACACATTAAAAAGTTATCGCAATCTAATTACAAGCATAAAATATAATAAACCTTTCCAATGACTGGGATCCCTTCACAAAGCCTCCTTAGAGACAACCCGACCAGCCCCAGCCTACACCGACAGACAGCAATCATGGACGCCACCAACACATCCAAACATGTGTTCACCATCGATGCAAACGTTACTGAAGAACTCTGCAGAATGATCATAATCTTTTCATTATAAAATGTGGACTTTATGTTGTGAGGAGTAAGTTTATATTTTGTTTGCTGCTATGTTCGAGCTACGTATTTAAACAGAATGATGATGGCAACTTTTCAATCTATACTAATTAAAGAGAAAATTATTTATTATTCCTTTGTTTGCATTAAAAAACTTTGCTTTTTAACACTGCTTACCTGATTAAAGTATGTTAGTTCATATGCAGGAGACTTGGAAGCGTCATATGGATACCTGCAAGTCGTAAAAATTGTACTCCAATATCTTCCATCATCATCAGACTATAAGTGCCCACTGCTGAGTAAAGGCCTCTTCTCACACGGAGAAGGTTAGAGCATTAATCACCACGCTTGCTCAATGCGGGTTGCGATTTCAAACTTATAATTAGAAATTATAAGTCCAGGTTTCCTCACGATGTTTACCTTCACCGTATGTCAGTGGTGTCTTAATAATCAAAGAAAGTACATATAACTCGGAAAAAGTCACATTGGTACTTGCCAGGTTTCGAACCCACACCCTCCTGCATGAGAAGCGGACTCCTTAACCTCCGGGCCACCACAACACCCAATATCTTACAAGACATAATAGAATTAAGAGAAAAAAATTTGGGTCTTTTAGAAAGTACTTTACTGTTTTACAGAATTTAACGCGCGTGGACACAAGTCACCTGACATGGTCACAAGTCTGTCAAACAGACAGTCTGTAGTTGTAACCCTGTCGAAACGTAAAGCAGAAAACAAATAAAAGATACGTGCGCGTTAAATTCCGTAATACAGTATAGTATTCATATGCAACGCGAAAGTTTAAAGTAAAATTATTTTAGAAAATAGTTTACAAATTATTTGCTAAAGGTATAAAATTCTACCATGCTCGAAGAGGAAGCTGGTCCTTCTCAGCACTGGCTGCCCAGCCGAGCACTGTGATCAGAGACAGCAGTACTTCCATGCATAAAAACCTGGTGGTCTCCCTATTGCAGCTGTTGGAGCAAAAAAACAAAATACCATCAATCATCGCAGACAAGAAATGATGTCATAGAAACCGCTAACTTCATTATCACGGCCAAAGTCTTTTTTATGTGGTAGGTGGCAAACCGGCACTCGAATTTCAAACTTCAACTTTCAACCTGGTAAGCAATCGGTTTTGTCCATGGACACTACAATAACACCAAAAAAGTTACTACTAGTTATACTCTCGGGTCACGGCATTTTAGCTGAGCACTTGGCCTTTTTGCGCCGTGCATAGGTACTCTCATTTAAGTTGTAACTAATTTGTCTGTTATTAATTTTTGCGGTGCAAATAAATATTTTTTCTTTTCTTTTCTTTTCTTTCTTTTTTACAAGTGGAATTGACGGTCTTTTCCTAAATAGCCGGAAAGCGTTAAAATATGTAGAAAAAATTTGGTAGCTCGTACAGAAAATGTAAAAATAAAACAAACCATATATTTCATACCTCTTAATAATTTCCTTCCCTTCCTCCCTGTCCTCAGCCACGAGTACTTCATCAGCATCATCAATGATGTCCTGTATCTGTCGCCTCCTCGCCACCACGTTTATGATCTTGAGAGCAAACGCCAAGTTAGTGAACAGCAGAAATGATGCACTCGTCATGAGAGCCAGGTCTCCCCAAATTTGAAACATGGCACCAGTTTGAGCTATTATGATACCTCCTAAAAATCAATCATCGTGATCAGTATCATATTCGAACCTACTACAGCTATTTTGCTATGGCTTGTCTACGGAAAACAGCTTTTTGTATTATATTATATATGATCGACTGAAGAAATTGGCCACGGCCAGAAAACCGACGTGAAACAACGTTGGATATTTCCAACAACAATAGAACATTCTATAATATCTCGTATACCATGATATTAAAATAAACATCTTATCTTATTCTGCATCAGAAAAATATTTATACAATTACGTTTGCGATCTCATTCACATTACAAAATCTTTTAACAAACTAGTGACAGAATTAATGAACCGTATTTTTTTTTTAATCCGCCTTTCAAAATCCATAAAAAACCACACTATTGACCATATTACCTGGCTCCCAACTTACCGACTAAGAACATGAAAGAAGCAAAGCAATACACCGATAGGAAGAAGCTGTAGATCCCAGTCTGTGGTGGGGTCAGGAAGCCTACGACCTTGAGGACAGTCAGACAGACCCGCAGCGAGTTGTTCGCGTTGTTGACGATAAGCCCCATGATCGGCGTTTGATGTATTTCTGTTTGTTCGTTGTTCACATAGTTGTTGTGGCAATGGTACATTTTGTTAGGCAGGTGTTGATAACATTGGGATATTAAAGTGAAGTAAGGTAGAGAATAGAATATTCAATTGTGGTTGGAATCGAAAACCAAACTCAAGAAATATGATAAATTGTAATTGTGAATAATAAGAAATTGGATAAATTACAAATAAATAAATTGATGATACAGTTTTTAGAGGTGGAAATCAATATGAATATTATTTTTCACGTCCAGGGAGAACAAAAGTGTTAACTAAACTCTTACCTTCTCCTACTCGTAGGCCGACTTCGGCACGGCTCGACTTGAGGTCTCACATAATACTAGAGAGAAACAAAAATTAGGTTCTGTTTCGCTTTGTGAGTGAGGTTACAGGAGACTCAATCCTTTCCAACCCCAAATCCCCTCTCCTTAAATCCCTAATAACCAACTATATTCAATGTACTCTGTGCTAATAACCCTCATAAGGCCACCAACGCACTTGTATTATGTCCTTTTGTATTACTAGTGTCCTTGGATGGCATTGACATCTGGCGTAAAAGACACTAGTACTAGGTACAGATGGATAAACTACAAAATTGGGAACACAAAAACTTGTAAGGTACGTAAGCGTTTCAATTTAATTTACATAAAGATTGACAAATGTTTGCAAGCTCTGCCACTAGATATACAATAAATAATCAAAGGACATTCTGTTTTGGTGAAGAACCTGGAATTATCAGTAAAATGTACATGTCTAGTATTACATCAACGTTACAATTGAGTTATTATATTTAATTAATACTTACAAAACGTTTGTAAAACAATTCAATTTTTGTCCGTAAATGTTATAGAAGACCATTCAAATAGCAATTTAGCAATTAATACTACATACTAGTGATAAATCAGAATTGAATTTTAAATGAAGTAAAACATAGGACATGCTATATTTGTTAATTTTAATATTTACTACTAGCTACTCTCGCGCGGTTTCACCCGCTGTTCGGCTCCATTTAATCCTTGCGTGATGTTTTATAGCCTATAGCACTCGGGAACATTGTAGCTATCTATCAGTGAAAGAATTTTGACAAACCGACCAGCGGTTCCAATAATTACCCCTACATACAAACTAAAAAAAATTTACCACTTTATAATATTATATAGATAATATAGGACTGTTGACCTATAACCCCATTTTCCTTCTATCAATTCATAAGTCAATTTATGTTCATAAATGACTATCTCGAATAGTTGCAAGTTCCACTGCCAAGCAAGGGGTAGGTATTATTTTCGATTCTTAAGTGATTCAAAGTTGGTATTTTCCGGTTTGGTACTGGAATCGTGTGCTTTATATAGCGATAGGTTCATCCACATGGGACTCCATAACAAAACTGATGAAATACAGCGTTGTGTTCCGGGCATGACCAATTCCTAAATGAACCCTAACCCTCAAATTGACGGCGACGCACTCTTTAACCATGGAGTTTCTTGCCTAACCATGGGGCTTCTTACTCTTTCTTCTTCATTGGAACGAGATCTACACTTTGGAACGAGCAAATAGCTTCACTAAGAGGACTGACCGACAGACTTTTACTTTTTATCTTTAAGCTTTGTGTAGCGTTCTAAAAGTGCCTGTAACGGTCTAATAAAAAAAATGTTTAAGTGTGGTAGAGCCATGCTTCGGTATGAATGGGTCGACTCGACCGGAGTGACACCACGGCCTCACAGAAAACCGGCGTGAAACAACCACAGCGTTGAATCCCTAAATCTCCAAATCCCTAACCGGTCGGCAACGCACTTGTAACTCCTACGTTGCGGGTGCCCATGGGCGGCGCTGATTACTTACCATTAGTCAGAAGAAGCCAGACAACAAATGAAAAGCCAACTACAACTTCTGTGATAAGCGCCATCTATTATTTAACGGCGTAAACATGAAACGCTCGACTCGACTGAGAAGTTAGCCTCGTTGTTGAATGTTCTTTGAATCGTTTACTCGTGTAACAGTAGAGATGACAGCACTTTGGAATTTTTTTTTTTACTTTGAATCCTTCGATTGCACGTTTCGTGCGGTGGCTGAGCAACTGGCTGCCGTCACCGTCAACGGGTCGCGGGATCGATTACCGCACGGAACAACACTATGTGGGATTTACAAATTGTTGTTTCGGGTCTGGGTGTCATGTGTATGTGACAATGTATGTTTACATTCAGTCAAGAAAGTATCGGGAATGAATGTTTTTTTTATGGTTCCAAATTCGATTTTTTTTTTTTTTTTTTGTTGTTGTTAGATTGGCATAACTGTTTTCCATTTTGGCGCGGAATTTGAGTTGCATCTGTTATTTATATTAAAAACAGTGCTGTTTTTAGTTTTATAATATCTAGTGTGTATTGCGAATTTCATAATGGACAAAAACATCGAACAAAGAGTTTGTCTTAAATTTTGCATCGCCAATGAAATTTCGTGTTCGGAGGCACTCAAAATGTTACAGAAGGCTTACGGTGAATCGACTTTATCAAAAACACGTGCTTATGAGTGGTACAAAGCGATCAAAAGCGGTCGAGATGTGATGGAAGATTTGCCTCGTTCTGGTAGGCTATCAACGTCTGCAACTGAAGTTAACATCGCAAAAGTGAAGGAAATAGTGACTGAAAATCCTCATTCAAGTTTGAGAGAGATGGCCGCCGAACTTTCTGTATCTCACGAGTCGATCCGTACCATTTTAACAAATAATTTGGGTATGAAACGTGTTGCCGCTCGGCTACTCCCAAAAGACCTGAATTTTCTTCAAAAACTAAATCGCATGAAAGTCGCTGAGGACATGCTAGAACGAGTCAATACCGACCTAACATTCATGAAACGCATTGTTACTGGTGACGAGACGTGGGTTTACGAGTTTGACATGCAAACTAGTCAACAAGCTTCGGAATGGCGCCTTCCAACTGAACCAAAACCGAAAAAACCACGTCAAAGTCGATCAAAAGTCAAAGTCATGTTGACTGTTTTCTGTGACTATCGCGGTGTTGTGCACTCAGAATTCTTGCCCGAAGGTCAAACGGTAAATAAAGAATATTATTTGAGCGTTATGCGACGTTTAAGAGAACAAATTCGACGAAAAAGGCCAGAAATGTGGAAAGAAAATTCTTGGATTTTGCATCACGATAATGCGCCTTCGCACAAGGCCATCATTGTAAACGATTTTTTGTCCAAACACTCAACAAACACCATCGAGCAGCCACCATATTCACCAGATATGGCTCCAGCCGACTTCTTTCTTTTTCCCACACTCAAATTACCCCTTCGTGGCACCCGTTTTCAATCGTTAGAAGACATAAAGGAGAATTCGCGGCGAGCACTGAACTCAATTCCGAAAACACCGTTTAAAAAAAGTTTCGATGATTGGATTATTCGTTGGCGTAAGTGTATCGTTTCTGAAGGAGCATACTTTGAAGGTGATAAAATAAATTTAGATGAATAACAAACATTTTGTGTATTATTGACTTTTTCCCGGTACTTTCTTGACAGAGTAGTATAAACGCACCCACAACATGGGAGAACATCCTAAAGTGGGGCAACGTTTTTTCTAAAAAAAAATCCTTGGTACGATCAAACAGAAGTATTAATTTTCACAGATACATGTGTGTGTAATAAGTACGTAGGTGCTATCCATTTCTCGCAGACAATTGATAACCAAAGAAAAAATAAAACAAATTAGGTAGGTACTTTTTTTTATTTAATGTAGATCAACCAATCTTAATTTACACATAAAATACTTGCGAATAAAATCAAAGCTAACCTAAACATTATTAGTAGCAGATAACTACAAAACAAAGATGTCGTCGCCTACTCCTCATTAACTTGCTGCAGAAGTGTGAACAATGAGTACGAAGCTTTGATGATCTGAAAATAAAACAAATCAGTTCATAGTTATTTTTGTTTTTTTAATTTATCTAAAGGTAGCTTTAAGTAATATAAGTGCTGTTACCTGAAAAGGGTTGACGCGGCACGGTTTAGCACACATACTTCTGAATACAAAATATGGTAATTTACCGAACCGATTTAGGTGTTTTGCTCGCTTGTTATTACAAGTGCGGCAGAGCCAGGCTTCGGCATTCGGCGGCAGCAGGCGGCGAATGGGTCGGCTCGACCGGAGTACCACGGCTTCACAGAAAACCGGCGTGGACCACTACCTCATCGTTGTGTTTCACCGTGTGAGTGAGTTTACCGGTGGCCTTATCCTTCCCCTTCCTCAATCCCTCCCCGATTCCAAAATCTCCAAATCCCTAAACCCCAAAACGTTCTCGTAACTGCCCCGTTGTTGTAGATGTCCATGGGCGGCGCTGATTGCTTAACATCAAGTAATCCGTCTGTTCGTTTGCAGTCCTATTACATAAAATAACGACTTACGGCCATGAAAGAAGTGAGTGAGAGTGTAGTAAATCCTCCCGCGGTGAGTCGAAGAGCTCTGCGTGTGCGCACCATTATTATAAGCAACGCACGGCGCAGGCGCAGCGAGAACTTATACCACAGGCACTCGTACGCAGCTCCAGCTATCTCAAAACTCTGGTGCCAAAGAAAATTCAAGTCATGAAACACACGTTTTATCAACATTTGACTGCACTTTTGGTTCAGTGGAACGTTTTGTGAGTTACTTGTGCGATGTATCGGGTCTTAGAGTGATAAGTATGTGAAATTATATATTTGCACCCACAACTGTGGATAATAACCTAGTTTGGAGCAACGTTCTTTTCTTTTACAAAACTGAAAAAATATTTTTTATTCTGTTGCTGCTTCCTGGAACTTACCTCTTCTGAGAGCTGGTTTCCTTGGTAGCAATAGATGAATACTTGGAAAGTCATGTTTAGGAGGTAGGTGCCCATCGACAGTAAACGCACCATATTGTCCGGCTGTGCCATCTGTGAGATAGATACCAGTTAAGAAACGTTAGATGATTGGTAAAACAGGCTCGCAACAATATTCTGACTTGTTAATGTACAGTCAGGGGTCAAAAATGTAATTACACTCTATCAATTTTAAAATGACAAAAAATTTAGTGTAATAAAAGTTCACAGCCAGTTTATTCAATAATTTAGACTCTATTATACAAAGATATTTTGGTCATTTTAAAATTGGTAGAGTGCAATTGCATATTTGACCCCTGACTGTACAAACCGCAGTTTATAGAAATTTTTAATATGTGTATGTGTGACTAACCTTATACATTTCCAAAATAAATACTATTGGTATTCTTTTATTTTAGAAGAAAATGTAAGCATTACTTTCTTTCAATAAGATTTCTCCCGCCCTCAATGGGACGAGAACAGACAACATGCATTAAATATTGGACAAATTAAGTATCATCATTGCACTCGTAGCGCGTCGCTAGTATTTTATTTTATTCATTTTAAGAAGGGTTACAGACTTATAACAGAATAGGTAACAAAATAATATAATTAAGTTTCTAATGACAAGCCTCCACAGATATATAATAATATCTACGATTAAGTAATGCCTGAATGTTGAAGTTATGTTTTTTTGTATTTTAATAATCGTGGAACTTTAAAAGTTATCACTTCACGTACCGACAACTGGAAAGCAGTAACACAAATTATGATTAGCGATACAGTCAGCTGCGCAAACGTTGGTTCGGAGAAGCATTCCTGCAGCTCCTTGGCAGCCTTTAGGGTTTCTTGGTGCTGCAACACACATGACCTGAGACGACAGCTGACTATCTTCTCTTGTTCAGCAGTAAGCATGTACTGGAAAAAATAAAAATAAATTGAGACATTAGATAATATGTTTGAATTAAGAAAAAATCGAAATGATCTATGTATTCTTTTTCCACCTTATCTTCAATATCCAACCCCTTATCCAAGGACCTCAGTGAAAGTCCCAGCAGCCTCAACCGGCACCGACACTGAGCAGTAAGGGCTGCCACCAGGGTGTCCTTCCCCACGTTCAGGAATGCTGCAATGAGGAGCGCTCCCACCTGATGCACGTATGTCAGCTCGTATGCTGGAGACTTCGTCGTGTCGTATGGATACCTGATGGCAAATAATCAAACAAGTCACGTTTGCAAAAAATTAGGTTTTCTAAGAACATTTTGATAGGCAACTATTGGAACCTTTTATAGTGTAGGTAAGCAAACGAGCAGATGGATTACATGATGGTAAGCAATCAGCGCCGACCATGAACACCCGCAATACCTAAAGAGGTACGAGTATGTTGCCGGTCTCTCAGGGATAAGGGTTTCGGAAATTTAAGGATTGGGAAGGGATGAGGAGGGGGAGGGATCGGGCCTTCAGTAACCTCATTCACATTCAACGCCGGTTTTCTGTGAGGCCGTGGTACCACTCCGGTCGAGCCGAACCATTCGTGCCGAAGCATGGCTCACCCACACTTTCCTCTCCACTTACTTACCTCCTTTGAGTTAAAAAAAAATGTCTTCAAAATTAAGTAATCGTTTCATTTGCATTATCTAACAAAATTTTAGCTATTTTCTACAAACAGAAAATTACTAACCATGCTCTCAAAGGTAGCTGATGTTTTTCGGCACTAGTAGCCCAACCGAGTCCTGTTACCAGGGTCAAGGAGAAGTACAACACTTGAAGAACTATCATCTCTCTATTGCAACTGAAACAAAAGAAGATAATATCTAAAACGAAAAAAAACTGTCGACGCTACGTGCTACGCCGTAGTAAAACGCTACGAGACTGCACGCCGACGGGAAGCGCGTAGTAACTTAAGGGAGCTTTTTTTTGCTTTTAAATGTATTTTGTCACCTAGCGTCTGTGTTTTGAATGAAGCACGTTTATTTTCTGCTTTCAAAATACTAATAACAAACATTATTCAACCATTACGCACAAAATAGTTACCCATCGACTTAATATTATAATAAGTGATCAAAAATGAAAAATTATTGATTTATTTGCTTCTGGCTCTATTCAGTTAATTAGATAGGAACATATACAATGCCGGGTCTCAAACTTTACACATACCTTTTGACAATTTCCTTTTGTGCCAAAGTCTGAACTTCAGATAAGACTTTATCAGAATCGTTAACAATGTTCTGAATCCTTTGCTTCCTCACCGTGATGTTCACGATTTTTGCTGCTTGAGCCATGTTTGTGAATAGGAGGAAGGCAGTTCCTGTCATCAGGGGAATGTCGCCCCATATCATGAACAGGTCCACTACTTGGATGAATATGTAGGTGCCTACAAAACAAGAGAGTCATTGCCTAAGCACATTTTTATAACGGGCGAAAAGATAAAAGGCTTTTTGCCTTTAGACCCGGGTGCTCATTTAGACCTAACTAATATCTGAAGTAAAAAACAATATGCGCCCTTTGAACCACACATCTAGGTTGAAACTATTTGCAAACTGCAAAATTTTTAATTATAATATAAAAACGAAATTGTATTGAATTTCGTTTTTGTCGTTGACGTATGCCGTGATTATGAGAAAAGTTCTAACATAATTACTATAAAAGATTTTTAAAAGCGAACGTCACAAATTATTTATTATGATTTAAGGAGACAGTGAATACGTTTTTATCTTTATATGATCTGATACTGCCACCAAAACCATCCTGTCAATTCAAAACAAAATTAACACCTATAAAAGCCCATTTGTTTTATAGATTTCAGATGATTAAGTTATTAATAAAGTTATATACAAACCTAGCATGAACATAAAAGAGAACACCCCAAACCATTTGTACATTGATCTTTGAGTTTCTGTGAGATTTTCTGGGGCCCAAAATCCCACAATCTGCAGAGCTGTGAGCGAAATGCTGACTGATTGTGTCGCATTTTTGACAATAACGCCCATTTTTATTATTACAATAAGAATCCAGGAGCTTTTCTAAAATAGTGGACCTTACGGTTCGTATGTTGTGTTAAGAATGTTACCCACGTAATATTGATAGTTCAAATCAAAATAATTACTCACAGAATTGGTTTAAATTCTTAATTGCAGGCGTCAGTGGTTGGTAAACGTAAGAAGTTAGTGTTTAATTTTGTCGTTATAAAAATAATAATGTATTTCAATGCAGGTTATCATAGTTCTAAAACAGAAAAGGTATCAACCTGACTCGTAGGTTCTATAAAATACTATGTTTGGGCACAAGAGAAATAATCATTCATTTTTCATAGTCACTCCGGTTTTTCACGATAGTCAGTGTTTGAATATTATTTTCTTTAAGATGTAACAATTATAAATATGATAGGATAAGTACTATGTGTTAATAGTAATGGAACAATGGGTTTGATATGTTAGTTTTAACCAAAAAGCCTAAACAAATATAATAAAAAAAAAGATGTAACTGTCAAGCATAAAATGTCGTAGTGGATAGTGGGAAGGATCTGCAAGTGAACTTACATTTCACATTATTTTTCAAAACTATACAATTCCACAAAACGTATTTTAAATTAACGCAGATAAATAAACATTCCAAAATCTTTAAGCCACCAATGGGCCTCGAGTATTCATAGTGATTACTGCGTAGTGCTTCAGCTTGTGAGAAGAGAGTTTTGCTTAGCTATGGTCAGTTACAGGATGATGAGAGTTAAATTTTTAACAATTTTGGCTGATCGTATTTCGTGACTCTTTTCATCTTAGGACACCCTGCAGTTCCATAACAAATAATTACAAAAGTAACAAAAAAAGATTATTGGCTAAAATAATACAACTTTAAAATACAGAGAAGGAATATGGGGAATTTCAAATTTTGAATACCCAATTACTACTATTTCTCGCGTAAAACAAAACAATTTGGAATATAGAATAAACATAAGGGGAATTACGAAACCTAAAAACCCGATCACTACTATTTCTCGATTGAAAAATTATACTTGATACATAGCTTTCTTCTGGTCTACTCTATCTACCAAAGAAATGATTATTAAAAAAAAGTTGTATGAAAGAAATGGTGTTTGTTGTCAACTCCTGCCGTCTTCGCGATAATTGTCAGTTGGCCGAGTGTGGATACAACGCAAATATAATTATGTCATTATATCCACAACACCCTGTACTTTCAATAAACGATTACTATAGAACAAATGTGAATTCATTGTGAAACCTACAATCATAACATGTTTGGTATTGTTTTACTTCGAATTGTTAATTGATTTTGATTTCGGCGTTTTTGTTTTGTCTTGGCTGGTTAAGTGGGTCGAAGTTGATGGTGTATGAAGTTCTGGGGTTTGATTTTTGTGTTAAGTGAACAGTTGTGAGGTTTTTTATTTGACAATTATTGTTAGAATTCAGTATCAAAAAGTAATTGGCAGAAGTAGGTATATCTCAGTGTATTGAAAATAACTCAGTAAGGTGAATTAACTCAGAAACGCTCGACTAATTTCAAGGCACAACGGGACTCTTATTCATGAGCAGCGTGTGCGTAACAGCGATGCTCTCATGCTTTGCTTCTCAATTATTTCACGTGATTAAGTTGTTATTATGTCTCACGATAGTTAGATACTATTCAAAGATATATCACAGTTCATTTAACTTTACAAGGCACACGATCTAAATTTTCATTGATAGGCTTTTATTTTTTAAATGTAAGAAGGTGCAGTTTATTTTCTTTTTATATTGTAATGGCGGTTTGTAAGCAAGGATGGATTGTTGTTTGTCATCAAAGTATGATTTTTGATTAAAAAGGATTTGAATGAAATTTGGTACAGGGAGAAATAACAGTCTCGAATGGCACTTAGGCAACTTTTTACTCTGGTATTGCGGGTGAAGCCGCTGGCAATAGCTAGTCAAACTGTTACAACTTTAGAGGATGTAATGGTGCCAATCAAAGTAAAAAACTCCGAAAATTAGCGAAATCAGGTTTAATAAAAAATAAGATGTTACTCGTACAATGGTAGTCAGGCAAGTGAACGATGACATCGAATGTTTTTGATGAATGGAGAAACGCCTATACAAATTTTAATAATGAAGTGTTTTACAACTTATTGCTACGTATTTCGAACAGGCGTTTACGCCTGAACATATTCCCGGCCGTTGAAAGGTAGCTTTCAACTCTTCAAGTCTTCAGCTGTAGGAAGTTTGCAAAGTCGCACCAAGGCACGTCGCACGCAGCCCTTGGTGGTGAGGATGTCTGCCACTCTGGATATCCCGTCAGGTCCGGGTATGAGGCGAAGTACGCGGCCCAGTTTCCAAGCGAGAGGGGGCGCGTTGTCATCAGCAAGCAGCACCATATCTCCTACGTCCAGCTTTGAAGTGTTTGTCCGCCATTTTGTCCTTTGCTGTAACTCAGAGAGGTACTCCTTCTGCCACCTTTTCCAGAAATGTTGCCTCAGCTTCTCAAGGCGCTCATAGCGTCGCAATTGGCTTTCCTTCACGTCTTCCAGGTTTGGTGTTGGCAGAGCGATCAGCGGTCGGCCAATGATGAAATGTCCTGGGGAAAGGGGAAGGAGGTCGTTAGGACTGGATGAGAGAGGGCACAAGGGACGGCTATTGAGGATTGCCTCCACCTGTGCGAATAAAGTAGAAAGTTCCTCGAACGTCACGTGACTGTCGCCTAAAACCCGTCGTAATAAATGTTTTGCCGACTTAACCCCAGCCTCCCATATGCCACCAAAATGAGGAGTGTAAGCCGGAATGAATTTAAAATTGATAGATTGTTGACTTGCAAAGCCAACTAAAGGTTCATGGTTCCGTTTGATGAACGAGCCTATTTCTTTGGCGGCAGCTACAAAATTAGTACCATTGTCACTAAACATTTCAGTTGGCTTGCCACGACGAGATATAAATCGTTTTAATGACATTATAAATGCATCCTTTGTTAAGTCACTGACTGCTTCAAGGTGTATGCATTTATAACGCAGGCAAACAAAAAGACATAAGTAGCATTTTACAATGCGACAGCCGCGTCCCTTACGGTTTACTATGTAAAATGGGCCAGCAAAGTCAAGGCCAACGGACAAAAATGGATAGTCTGGCGTTATTCGTTGAGACGGTAAATTACCCATTTTAGGTTGCAAAGTTGTACCTTTTAAACGTCTGCAGCGTACGCAGTTATTTACTGTGCGCCTCGCAAGTATCCTACCGTTAATTGGCCATATCGTTTCTCTGACAGTAGCCAATAACATTTGAGGACCGGCATGCATAGTGTTAATATGTTGTCTAATAAAATAAAGTTTTGTTAAAGTATGCGTTGCATGAAGTAATATTGGATGTTTCTTTTCAAATGCATAACTCGACGCATCGATTCGTCCACCGACACGAATTAACTTATATTCATCTAAAAAAGGCGATAATGCTAACAGCTTGCTATTTTTATTTAATTGTTTACCATTTACCAATAGATCGTATTCAATAGAAAAGGATTGACCTTGGGAGATAATGCAAAGCGAGCGGAATGACTCACGCAACTCATTAGCGGACAATGTTCCTACTCGTTTGTTATGTTTATTTTTTAAATTGAATATGAATCTAAGAACGTAAGCAAATGACCGTTCTAATTTAGATAACGATGAATACTTTTCAAAGTCGATAATTGGTGACTTTATCACTATCGAATGCGCCTTTAATTCGGGTAATATTTCTAAATCTTTTAGGTTGGATTTAGGCCATTCGGTTTCGTTAAGAGTTAAAAAACAAGGTCCTGTCCACCAGAGTGATGTTGACGCTAGTCGTCTGGCATGCACTCCCCTTGATAATAAATCAGCAGGATTTAAATCTGTAGGTACATATCGCCACGCCGAAGATGATGTTAATTCTTTAATTTCCGTGATACGATTAGCTACAAATATTTTTAATTTACTGACGTTACTACGTATCCAGCACAACACTACGTTTGAATCACACCAATGTATTAGTTTGTCTGGCTTGTACCTTATTGAATCTACCACTGATTTTACGAGTTGAGAAGCGAGTACGGCGGCGCACAATTCCAAACGTGGTATGGTAGTGCTTTTTAGTGGAGCTACTTTAGACTTTGCGCACAATAGTCTAACCGTGACGTCACCGTTTGCACTGATCGTTCTCATATAAATACAAGCGCCATACGCATAACTTGATGCATCGCTAAACGAGTGCAATTCGATGACCTTTGGTGAGTCACCTAGAACTAACCTCGGTATGCGTAGATCCTGCAAGTATTTTATGCTCTCAGAGAAATCGATCCATTCTTCCTTTATCTCTTGAGGGACAGGCTCGTCCCAGTCAAGTTTAAGTTGCCAAAGCTTTTGTAACATTATCTTTGGCCTTATTACTATGGGACCTAATATACCTAACGGGTCAAATATTTTGAACGCGTTTGACATAATAAATCGCTTTGATATAGTATGATTAGCGTCGTGGGAAAATCCCTTTATAGGAAAGCTCAAAGTGTCACTGGCAGGGGTCCAGCCCAAGCCTAGGGTGCTTGACGATTCACTAAAAATGAGCTTGTCCTGTTCATTGATAGCGACATTATAGAATATGGACGGATGATTTGTTTTATATTTTCTTAAATTAAAACACCCTGACCTTAATGCCTCAGATAAAGCGTTTTGAATATATTTTAATTGCTGTGGATCATTTGTTCCAGTAATTAAATCGTCGACATAAAAGTCGTGTTGGATGATGGTGCGAATTAGTTCATCATCCTGTTCTTGACCTACTTGCCACAAGCAACGTGTGCTAAGGTAGCTTGCACTCGCGGTACCGTAAGTAACAGTGTTAAGTTGAAGTGTTTGTATCGGTTTGGACTCCTCGTCTCGCCACAGAATGAGCTGCAAATGCCTATCATCTTTGTGTACGAGCACATTTCGATAGAATTTTTCTATATCGCCCGTAAGTAGGCATTTGTATTGCCTGGAGCGTAACAAGATAGAAAA